GTGAGTTTTTAGTGGGGGCCTATGCATCAAAAAAACCTAAAATATTAAAACTTACTATTAAAAACCTGCTTTGATAAAAATAAAGAAATAAAACTCTTTTGAAAAGATTTGGGGGCCATGAATTCAGGAAACTCAGGAATTGAGTAAAACCATTAGTTCCATCGAAAAGTTTTATATTTTAATCTACTTCAGAAATTGCAAATCAAAAGTTATGTAATATAAACAGTTTAAAACATTACTCTAGATATAATAACCATAAGTATTTACCTTTGATATTAAAAGATTTCTTTAAACTGCAGTTTTATTTTTGAACCTACTTTTTAATAAATTTAACCTTAAAACTAACTTTAAAATACAAACAAGAAATATAAATACAAAAAAGATTTGCTAAGTTTAAATGCGTGTAAACGATTTAGCGAAACTTTATTGGCTTCTTAAAACAATTGCGCTTGTTTATTGGTTACTTTATATACTCAAAACGAGATATTTTAAAACGAGATTACTAGACTTAAAATAAAATTTTGCAACGTTTGAAATAAACAATCTAACAAAACTAGTCCAAAATTAAGACTTAAAATGCAAATCCGCAAGCCATTTTTAAACCAGGATACTTGAGATTTGGTAAAACCTCATTTCTAACCAAGACACAGTTACTGCAACATTACGCAACTCAAAATTCAAAAAAAAAGCTAAAATCGACCTACCCTAATATATATATATATATATATATATATATATATATATATATATATATATATATATATATATATATATATATATATATATATATATATATATATATATATATATATATATATATATATATATATATATATATATATATATATATATATATATATTTGTTAATTATTATTTACATTTCAATTGTATAATTCTATATATTAATTAATTTTTTTTTTGCCAGAAATATGTTGTTCGCGCAATTTACTATTATTAAAATATAAGGGGCTGTCCATTAATTAAGTCAACAAATTTTTTGAAATTTTTATCTCCCCCCTTCACCTTGTCCACAGTTTGTCAAATTTCCAGAGACCCCCCCTATAAAATTATGTCAATTTTTGATTACCCCTTCCCCCCCCCCCTCCCTACAAAGAAGCTACGCTACAAATTTTCCGCTATTTAAGAAATGAAGCTCAAAAAAAAATAATTGTTGACATCAACTTTGATTGACCTCCCTTCCTCCCCTGTGTCAACAACTGTCAAAAACGTTTAGACCCCCTCCCCCCTATTTGTTGACGTAATTAGTGGACAACCCCTAATTAAATAATCTTGATTATTTAATTAGGCAGCACTGTTAGATAAAAGTTTTGCTATAAAAATCACTTACTTCTTATCAGACTGCGTTTAGAATTTGCAGTTTTTATTTGCAGTTATTATTCAAAATCAGCCCTAAAACGCATTGAACGTTCTTTGCAACAAGCTATAAAAGTATAAACAAACTATATAAGTACCTCTATAGAGCCATAAAGGTACTTTTATAGTTTAAAAGTATAAACAAGCTAAAAAAGGTACCTCATTATAGTGAGGAACTATAAATGTGCCATATAGTATGGTACATATCAATTCCTTAATATGTACCATACTATATGGACTATACAATATGTACCTAAAATATTGTACCATAGCATTAAAGTGCTTTGTCAAATCATAATATTAGTAATCATAAATTTCTTTTAAATTGTAGAACCGATTGTACACGAGTGCTATATGCATAGCCTATTATATTAGCGCAAATACTTTCATAAACTCTAACAACTCACAAGTTTGTACGTAAATCCAACTTAAATTTTATATCAGTTAGGACCATTGCATAAATACATGCTCGAGAGTGGGTGGGTGAGTTCTTTGAAAACGTGACAAAACGTGACGTGGGTGAGTTGAGACAAAAACGACGTCACGCTAGTTGCATTTTTAATATAGACCACTTATAATAAAAAAATAGTTTTGCAGTCAATGACTGCAATAATCTTTATTTGATAAATGATCTTAATGTTTTACAAAACATATAAACTTATTATATTTTATAATGAATAAATTATTCAAGAATAATTATTGTAAGAAAAATGTCATTCTATTATGGAAAATGCTACGATCAGGGCCGCCGACACCTGAGGGAGAATGGGCACGGGCACTGATCTCCTCCCACATCAGTGGATCTTTTGATTTTTTAAGAAATTCTTTAATAGAAAAGGACCTTTTTTTAAAAAAATTTCTAAATATAGAAGAATTTTTTTAGTAAATGACGATTGTGCCTCTCCACTTCAAAACCCGTTGTGTTGGCCCTGATAATGAATTGTTGCGTTTTGTTAGAAATATTGAATATTCTGTGTGGAGTACCTCAAGGATCAATCCTAGGACCGTTCTTATTTTCACACCTATGTTAATGATTTTAATAATGCATCCGTAAAACTAAATGCTATCATGTTTGCAGACAATACAAATCTATTTTTATCTAACTGCAATATAAATCAACTATATGCTGACATGAACATTGAATTAAAAAAAGTAAATAAATGGTTAAGGTCAAATAAACTTTCTCTTAACGTTGAATAAACACAATATACCTTATTTCATAAAAAAACACAAAAAGAAAACCTTCCTCTATAACTGCCAAAACTTAATATAAATTATAAACAAATTAAGAAACAAGATTCTATAAAGTTTTTAGGAGTTATTGTGAATGATCATTTATCATAGCTTTCACATATAAAATATATACAATCAAAAATTAGTAAAACCAATAGTATTATGTATTGAATTCGCCCATACATGAATTCGAAAAGTCTAAAGTTTAAATGCTTATGCTTAATTCGTTGCTACATTACTTATGGAAACATTACGTGGGCAAGTTGTCAACTAACAACACTTAAAAAAATTCTTTTCTATATAGTAGAAGTGGGGGCGTAACCGCATATGGAAGCACAACCGTTTTTTAACATTTCTCCTTTTAAAATGTTATCTAATATAGCAAAAAACATACCACACATTAGTAAAACAGTTTCCTTCATTTCGCTTATGTCAAAAAGAGTGCCTGTTATGTTTCTGAGAAGTTGTGCATAATAATGTTTATTTTGATAAAAATATTATATTTACATCATATTTTTAAAGACATTTTTTTGAGGGTTAAGCAATATTTGATTTTTATTGTTAAAGATATGTGTTATCAGTATTATTTCATCAAGTGAAAACAGTTTTTGATATCAACATAATCTAATAAGCCAGCTATAAAACTGTTTCTTTCTAAAAACTGTCCTCTGAGGCAGAACTGCATAGACGCACAGGAGTAGTCTGGGCGCTACATGTAAAAAAAAAAGGAAAACTAAACATTTTGAGTGGACATTCTGATTTTTACATAAACTTGTTCCTTATAACTTAAGAAGTTTAAAAATTTTTACGTGCATCTTGGAAAGTGCTTATAAATTAAGTTAGAGACAAAAATTGATGCAGCTTATTGAAAAGATTTCAAGCATGATATATCCGCCATGTTGTTTTTAAATCCAATACCGCAAAGCATTAATTTAGTTTTAACAAATTATTGATAGGGGGTTAATTGTTTGTAAAATTAGATGTTTTAAATATAATTACTCAAATTTATGTGACCAAAACTTCATAAACCTTATTTAAAAAAAAAATTTATTTATAATTTTTTTTTATATTTTATTAAAAATTTTAAATAACTTTAATTAATAATAAAAAAAATAAAAATCTAAGAAACAAAAAAATGTTCGCGTTCTTTGTTTGCGTTAAAAAATGTTTACTTTTCAAAAACTGTTTACTTTTTTATTTTGTCGAAGTTCTTTTTAAAAGTATAGAATTACCGTCATAAATAAAAGAAAAAAATCAAAGTCATTTTTATAAATAAAACAAAATATTTGCATAACAAACTGCAATCATTTTAAAAGAAACGGTTAATGCAAAAATATAAAACATAAAACTAAAAAAAACGTGTTTTATTTTTATTTATTTATTATTATTATTATTATTATTATTATTATTATTATTATTATTATTATATTAAAAAAGAAATTAAAAATGCTTGTATACCTTATCATGGTGAAGTTGGTCGTAATAATAACAAACTGCGTGGATTTACTGAAAATGCGCTTGCGAAAGTGAAGACTTGTGGATTGTGACTTGCAAACCAAGCATTGTGACTTACAATGCTTGGTAAGTCACAAACTAAATGTACAACTTAGTTTTTTATATATGCCTTAAACAATGGTACGGAAAAAACAATAAATAGCGTAAATTTGATAATAATACTTTTTTTTACTATCGTCAAATTCGAAATAACTTTAAAATCATAAACATTCTACCTGAAATTCAGGTCCGTTTCCAGCATTTTTTGGTCTTCGAGATATCTAACTTTTAGACATGGAGCAAACTCTAAACATTTATATGTTTATACTTATGTCAAATAAGGATGCTTTGCAAAAAATTGCTATGATTGGAGCTTGGGAACAAAAAAGCCCCAAAATGTGTGCTTCCCCTGCCCTAAACGTGAGAGCAACAAGTTGATGAAATATTTTTGTACTATTTTTAACCAGACTTATATTTATCGATAAATTTTAAATTTCATAGTAAAATATTTCAGCGTTTAATAATTATAACAATATAAAATTTGCGACCCCCTCAAATTAAGGGAGGTTTAAACTTTGGTCAAAAATCTCGGAGACCAAATAATGCTGGATACGGGCCTGCTGATACGTGCCCAATAACTTTCTTATTTCATCAAAGATGTTACGATAAGTTTGTGAATATAAAAACATTAAACATTTTATAACATCGGAAAAATAGAGCAGAAAATGTCAACGAGAGTGTAGACGTGGATAATGCATCCTCATTTAAGCATAGAATCTCAGCTCGGAAAAGAGATAGATCAGGTAAATTAAAAAACCTTTTAGTGTGAAATGCAAAGAAAAGAATATTTTCTTTACTTTGCTTTGTACTTTCAAAACCAACTTCAAATAGAATTATTTATGGATATTGGCGTCTCTACTGAAAGACGTACTCTTGATATAAATTTTATTGCCTCACAGTTAGGTACTGATTGTTGTAAAGGTCATCTTGCTCTTCATCCATTTAGCGGGAACAATTATACAAGTGCATTTTACGGGATCGGTAAGTCAAAGTTCTTCAAACTAATGAGACAGTCTGAAGAGTACAAGTCAATTTTTCCAAGGTTGGGGACTCTTATACCTTTGATGTAACCCATTTTGACCAAATCGAAAAGTTTATATGTCAGTTATAAAAATTATAATCCAGTGATACGAACGAAGGAAGATAACTTAAGTTTATTGCCAAGAAAGAAGCTACGGAACCTTAAAAGTTTCTGCCAACTAGGGATGCTCTTATGTGTCATTGCAAGAGAGTTTTGTATCAAACAGCAATTGTTAAACAATCAGTGGAGGCAAATCTCAATATTCCAAAACCTAATGAATATGGATGGCGAGAAATTGGCAATCAACTTGAGGTTAAATTGATGCACATTAGACCTGCTCCTGAAGATGTTTTGCAGTTAATTCCTATTCGTGTAAAAAGTCAAAATGTGAAACACGGGTTGATTGCATGGATTGGCTTGTACGCAACTGTTCGTCTTGTGAAAACACAAATGATTGAGACGACACCTAGACAAAATATTATTCAACTGATTCGAATTTTCCTTTTTAAATATCTGTACACTAAATATTTTTTTTCGCGTAATTTGAAAAAATTATTAGCGTGACGTCATCAGTACCAAACAAGGGGCCGGAATTTGACCCTATTAGAATATTACTATTACTATTAGCACTATTAGAATTGCTCGTAAGTTTTTCTAAAGGTTTTATTATTTACTATAAAGCTTTCTCTAGAGATTATCTAACGTTTGACGTAAATATATATTTTTTAGTTTAATAAAAAAAAAGTACACCAGCGTGACGTCATCAGTACCAAATTATGCCCCAAATTTGACTCTTTAAGCACTTTCAGAAAGACACGTAAGTTTTTTTCGAGATTTTGTTATTTATTATAAGGTTTTCTCAAGAGTTTATCTAACTTTTGACGAAAATATTTTTTTTTTAGTTTGTTTTTTTGAAAAAATGTCAAAATGACGTCATCAGTACCAAATAAGGGCCCAAATGTAACCCTTTAAGCACTTTTAGAAAAGCACGTAAAGTTTTTCTCATTCAAGATATCAATGTTAAACTATTTAAGTATTTTTTGTAATGTCCACTTCATTTCCACGAATAAGTTACACGTAGCGTCCAGACTAGAGGCACAACCGCATACTTTTAATATTTATCAAAATTAATTAATTACGAATAACAATGATTACAATCGTCACACTTGAATGCGTTCATGTAAAAACTCGAATAGTTTTGCTTTGAGATGTTAGAAAGGTTGTTAAAGATGTTAGAAAAGTTTTGTTTTGCGATAAAGATGTTAGAAAAGTTTTGTTTCGAGAACAAGATTTTAGAAAAGTTTGTTTTTTGTTAGAAAAGTTTGTTTTTTGTTAGAAAAGTTTGTTTTTTGTTAGAAAAGTTAAAAGATGTTTGTTTTGAGATGTTAGAAATTAGATATCGTATTTTTTTATTTAATTTTTATAAATGAGTTTTTTAATAAAAATAAAGCTAAGAGTATATTAAATTAGAAAACTCAGACTGTAAGTACAAAGAATGCCTACACAATATGAAAACGTGCAACAAAATTAGCAAATAAACTTAGCTATGATAATTGTAAAGAAAATGTATCTAGAAACTACTATTACGTCAAACGTTAGATAATCTAAGTGTACCCCCAACAATTTTTGTGAAGGTGCGGTTGTGCCTCACAATGGGGGCAAAACCGTTTTTTTACTAAGTGTAATTTTTCAAAAACCATTCAATTTTTTTCTTAACTGCATTAATTTAAAGTTTAATTATGTGGTTATTGAAACAAACTGCTAAAAAAACGCATTCCGCTTTTATTTTCATATCATATTAATCCAAATGTTACAGGGGCGGTTATACCTCCACTTCCCCTATATACATATATACATATATAAATTTATTGTGAAAGGGAATTGTAGTTTGTACAAACAGCAAAACTAAAGCCAAAATTAAAAAAAAAAAAAGTTTGGTAGAAACTGTTGCTTGATTTTGTGAAGAAACTTAACTTGTTGCTTGATTTTGTAAAGATACCTAACTGTTGCTCAACTTAGTAAAGATACATAAAATTATAATTCATTTTTGTATTTCTTGTCAAAAAATAACAACTTTTAATGATTTTATGTCCGTAGAAATGTTCAAGAAAAAATAATTTAAATAATATGCCAGATCATTAACAAGATATATTGAATACCTATGTTGTTGCATATCCGACATAAAACTGACAGCTGTTTAAAGTTTCAAATCTGCGGCTTGTAGCATAGTAGATGTATCTATGAAGCAATTCCTTATGACCAGAGTTAACCAGAGTTTAGTCCAAAATCATGCAAACAAGTTAATGTTTGCATGATTTTTGCATATGATCAAAGCCTGATTTGATTGATAGATTATAAATGATAGACACACGAATATGCCATGGGGCCAAAGAGCCCATTTACGGCCCCCTAAAATCACGGGCCCTTAGGCTGCAGCCTAGTTAGCTTAATTGACAGTCCGGCACTGTCTTTACTACTGTTTTAACCCTCTAGTTCCCAAAACCGCCTCGAGGCGGGTATTATAAAAATCCATGTAAAAATTACATCGCTAGAAATTTTAGCGTAATGCTCGTGTCCGCCTATAGACAATAGCATATGAACCAAGTTACGTGCGCCGGCGCACCCGCAAAGCACGTGGTTTTGTTTGTATAATCCGTGCAGTGTTATTTCGCAGCGAATACTACGATAGTTTTGTGTCAGTGATTGGAAAATTGTTAAAAAATATTTGTAGTGCCCCCAATTGAATAAAAATATTATTGGTAAGTTTGTACTTTATTTAGCATTGCAACAAAATATATTTGAATGATTAATTGCTCATACAAATATTATACTTGCCCTATTCATGATACCCGTCTCCAGGCGGACTTGGGCAGCAAGTTATGTTTTTTTGATATAACTTGTAATTGAGAAACATTTTTTATACATTGCTAAATATTTCATTTTAGAGATGGAACGACATAAATTTTACGATCCCGAGTTGATGTCACAGGACGATGTTTTTAATTTACTAGATTCAATAGATGCAGGTGAATTAGATACTTTTATTGAAGATAATTTCCTTTCGGATGATAACCCTGATTTTGTTCATAAAGCTCATCATTTCAATATGGAAAATATCTTAGATAATGACGCCGATGAAACAAATGAAATGAAGAATTACCGGCGCGTTTTTATGAATTGAAAACTCCTTATGAATGTTTTAAATAGTTCTTGGAAGATAAATTATATCAGGAAATTGTAAATACAACTAATCTTTATGCTCGCCAAATGAATATTTCAACAAAATTTGTAGCTACGCCGGCAGAAATACAAAAATGTGTCGGAATTTTGTTTTATATGTCCATATACAGATACCCAAATACTCGAGAATATTGTGGAGAAAATTCGTTTGAACCAGTTCGGAAAACTATGACCAAAAATCGACTTGAAGAAATACGTCGTTATTTGCATTTCAACGACAATACCAAAATGCCGCGCAAGGGGATTCCAATTTTGATCCGATATTCAAGATGCGGCCAATTATTGAATACCTCAATATACGTTTTCAGTCGGTACCAATGTCTCAACGCCTGTGTGTAGACGAACAGATGTGTTCCACAAAAATGGTTTCGCATATTCGGCAATATATGCCCTCAAAACCACATAAATGGGGCATGAAACTGTTCGTGTTGTGCGACACCTATGGGTTTTCATACGGATTTGAGTTATATTCTGGAGCAAGTGACAATAAAATTCCAAATGGAGCACCGGATTTAGGTGCAGCAGTCAATGCAGTTTCAAGATTATCGCAAATAATCCCTGATCACATGAATCACATTGTATATTTTGATAATTATTATTCGACTTTGCCATTGATGATATATCTGTATAGCAGAGAAATATACTCTTTGGGAACCGTTCGGGCAAATCGAATTGCAAATTGCAAATTGCCAACAGATAAAGAATTTGCGAAGAAACCTCGACGATTTTCAACTGAATATGTAGGGTCTTGTTATGGAGTAGACTTGTCGACTACACTGGGAAAGACAACAAAGGTGTTCGTTTGGCCTCAACATACGTAGGAGTATTACCATTTAAAAATGAAAGTAATAACACCCTGAAGACATCAAGATATGATCGTGCTCAAAAGAAGAGAATAGAAATTGATTGCCCAAATATCATCCGCGAATACAATGCACACATGGGCGGTGTCGACCTAATGGACGGTCTTTTGGGTCGATATCATATTCGCATGAAAACAGTAAAGTGGACTAGTCGTTTCTTTTATCATAAGTTGGACTTGGCCATGATAAATGCATATTTATTACATAAGAGGATAAACAGACAAAATAAAGCATGCAATATACAACTCCCACAATTTAGAAAAGAAGTGGCTGTAATGCTTTGCAGATTTCAAACAGATGAACCGCAAAAGAGATCTGTTGGAAGACCGCGATCAACAAATGCAGAAGAAGATCCCGCCCCTAAACGACTGGGCAAGAGGACATATTAACCAGCTGCAGACATCAAATTTGATGGCAAGGAACAATTTCCTCAGTGACTGGACAGATCCGGAAAGCGCCAATGTAAATTGCCTGGGTGCAAATCAGAAACGCAATGCACTTGTTCTAAATGTAATATAAATTTATGTTGCACTGCAGCGAAAAATTGTTTTGCAATATTTCATAAACAATGATATTAAATTTTTTGTAATTATTTAATAATAAATAATAAAAGAGAAAATATTTATAATTATTTGATCCATCATAAAACTGAACTTTTAGTATTAACTTCCCAGGTCCGCCTCAAGGCGGAGATCATATAATCGGGACTGGAGGTCATATTTTTTACTTTAGAAAAAAATTAGCTTGAAATTGAGTTTTAATAGCCTCAATTTAGCATAGCATAATTTTTTGGTGAAGAAAAAAAATTGGGGCACTAGAGGGTTAATAATGCCAACTTAAATGTGGCTCGTTGCTTGTCTACTTGTTACTGTTTATCTTTGTTCAAGCTCTTCTATCCGTCCGCTCAGTCTAACTCGGATCTTGCGTTACAAAAATGGTATCTAAATAGTGGCTGATATTCTCTCAATAAGCAAAGTAAACACTTTGATTATTAACATACTGTTTGGTTAAATATCTTTACAAATGAATCAGACAATTTGGAGAATGAAAAAGTCTCATTATTTTAGAATTTGATTTTACTATTATGAAACTTCTTAATCGTTCTTTTGAGAAAAATGGTGCTGGGTAAGTATTTTTAAAGTATTTTCAATATATTAAAGTAATTTAAAATTATATGAAGCTTCTTATTATAAGTAAATAATTTTATTTTAAAAATTATAAATTATTCAATTTAATTTTTTTAAAATTGATTCAAAAATGTAGGGTTTAGCTAATCATTTTATAAAAGAAATTTTGAAATGTTTATAAAATGTTTTTTAAAAGGTCTACCAAGATTCATCATTTTCAAATCAAATTTTAAAAAATTAAACAATAATTGGTTCAATATTAATAAATCAAATTACAGTGTATTTTTAGGCTATTTCATTTTTTATTTTTCTATCTGAAATAAAACCAATAGTAAAAATAGATAAGCAAACATGAGATTGTAAGGTCAAGTAATAAAACTGAAATTAATTTTAATTAAATTAATGTGAGCAATCAATCAAAAGCAATCAAAGGATAGTTAAAACTGTAATGTAGTAATGAGGTTAGAAATTCATGAATAAAAAGTTTTAATAACAATTACTTAAGTTAAAAAATAATTAAAATTCCTAAATTCTTATAAAACTAAAATTTTACTATAATTATTTAAAAAATTCTAGATTTCTGCATTTATTTTTCATCAATTTTGATATTTCAAAAAATGCTAGAAGTATGAATCATATTGAGGAAGAAAGCTCTTTGATCTTGTAAAAATCAACTTATATTTTTGTATAATTAGCATTGTTTGGTTTCTAATCCTATTTTTTTTAGCACGATGAAGAACTTTATAATATGTTTGAAAGCATAAGATAATATCTTGGTGTAGTTGAGACAATTTTAATATGTTATAGTGTTTGTATGATATTTTGTTGACTACGACATATTTATGTTAAATGATCAGGTCTGTGAACTATAAAAAGACAATTAAAATGATAAATTTTGTGGTATAATAAAATATAAATGTTTGCAGCGGAAAAACCCAGACCAAATATTCTTTTTTTAAATTTTTTTTTTATTATTAAATCACAATCGCTTGTCCAAATTTGAATAATATTTTAAATAAATACATTGTTTATGTAAAATGAACATTATAGTTTAATATGATCTGTTCCAATTGTTTATTGTCAATTTTTCTTGATTATAAGATTTCTGACCAAGAAGGTCAGAATTTACTATTTTTTGTGAAAATTGATAGAAATATTATAATTTGACAACTATCTATAATTAATATATGTCAGAACCAATTAGAACTATCTTTAGTGGGTTAAGGTACTTTTTCAAAAGAATTCTAAATTTATGTTAATGCTGATGAGCGAATGTGTTCTAAAGACTCCAATTAGGTGTTATTTAGATTCACTATTAGAGGTAGTAAAAAGGTTTTGAAAATTATATTAAAAAAAAAGAGTTTCTTTAAAGTTTAGAGTTTTCTTTAGTAGCGGGATAGCTCAGATGGTTAGAGTGTTAAAGGAAAAGTTAAAACCTGGACTGTTGAATGACACAAGTTCAAATTCCGCCACCGCCAACTTAGCGCTTGAGTAGTACTTCGGTACGCAAAAATGTTGGTCAATAACGGATGCTACTTTGGATTAGTCTTAATGACTATTTGTGGCTGTTCCTATGCTAAGCCAACAATATCTTCGGATATAAGAACATTGTATAGAAAAATATAGCATGAAAACTCATATAAAAAAAAAAAAAAAAAAAAAATTAAAAAACGTGAAGCAAAAAAAATTATAACATCTAAAGCTCTTGTTTGTACATAATGTGCTGATAAAATCATGATAAATTCCAAATGAAAAAATTTGAATAAATTGTAAATCGCCTTAACTACACCAAAAAAAAAGTTCAAATTATAGTTATTAGTAAAGCACTCATTTTTTAATCAAAAAAGTTCCAAATTGAATGCCTTCACATCCCTGGTAGTGCAGCACTTGTTTTTTCATGCAGTAGCCTTCAAAAAAGTGATGTCTTCAGCTGGAGCTTTCCATTAATTTTGGGGAGGTCAATACAATTGAAAAACAAACAACAATAATAGTGTAAAATGAGGTCATTTGCAATAGTTTTTTTTTTTGTCCAGGAAAATAATTTTTAATATTTTTTATTTTAAATTTTATTTTTTTTTTATTTTAATTTAAGTTTTAGAGAATTTACTTAGGTGTATTTAAATGTATACTAATTGAATAATTTTTTTTTAGTTCTTTAAGAAATCAATTTTGACTGAAAAAAAAGTCTATACGTCTTTAAGGAGAATAAAATATACAAGTTGATGGTTAGTTAAAAAAAAACTTAATTAAAAAAAAGCAACCATAACAAAACAAAAAAGACAATTAAAAAAAAAACAAACAAAGTAATTATAAAAAAATAATCAATAAACAAAAAATGTTTTTATTCTTGTAATGATGTTGAGTTTAATTTTCATTTGTGCTGCACTTTTTGGTGCAATGAAACTTGGTGGCATATCATTTTGGTATGCATGTTTAACAAAGCTAAATCTTGAACTAATTTTATTTGCACTAATGTTCTCTCTGACATTGACATAGTTTACATGTCAATAAATTAACTGTTTTTGTTTCATAATCTTAATTGTTGTTGTTGTTGCTTAGTTTATTTGCTGCTTATCATCATAGTTAAACTTACATTATTTCATAGCTTGCTTTGCTGTTTTTTTTTTCCATTTGTTTTCAAATTGTTTTTGAATTTCATTTTAAATAGTTTAAGTTACTGCAATATTAAAGGTTGGCTGCAGACGAATTTGAGTTTAAAGCTGATGCTGCAAGATATATGCTATTTGTGTAGATTTAGAAGGAATGTACAGGCATGAATCTATTTTTTTTTTAATGTTTGAGGTTTGAGAGCTAATTTCCAGATAAAACAAACTTCGAAAGTTTATATGTTTATACTTATGAAAATATAGTTAGAAAATATAAAATAATGCAAAAGTACATTAAGTTTTATTGTTTTTTATAAAAATAATAATGACTAGAAAGTTTTGTTAATAAAAGTGTTCTGTTTGTTTTTAAACATATTTTTTAAACATGTTGCTACAAAGGGGGGCTGCTACATCAACTTACTTATAGCATGTTGTTACAAGAAATGGCGCTACAACAACTGAGGGTTTGGTTTGGCAGGCTTGGACAGGAATGCCATGCGATCGAGCGCTATTAATCACCACGCAAATAAATTTATTTTTTGACAACTTGACCACGATTGTTTATATGTTTTGATGATTAAAACATTTTAGAAATGTGTTTAATGTAAAAACAATAAGCTAAACTTAAACTAAAAAAACTAACAAAAAAAACCCTAACCAAAAAAGAAACGAAAAAAAAAGTTCTTTAACAAAAAGAAATTATATAAACACTTAAAAATAAAAATCTAAAACTTAAACTCTAAGCGAAACTTTTTGTTACGTTTTTATAACGTTTTAAATAAATGTTAAAACTTATTTTTTAAACATTTTATTAAAGTTACACAAAACGCTTTTAAATTAAGTACTAAAGATTTTGTAATAAATTAACAAATTTTATCAAATTTATTAAAAAGTTGTCAAAAAAAAAAATTATTTAAAAAAATTTCGTAGTCTTTTTAAAAGAAAAATAAAGTTTTTTAAAAAAGTTTAAAATTTTTTAATAATTTCGCTCTTTAATAAGTCTAGTTAAAAAAAATGTTTTCGACTTTTTATTTGTAAAAACAGGAGAAAAACTAAATTAATGAAATGCGCCTGCAGTTTCAATAAAATAAACTGCCTATAAGCAACTTAATTTAATTTGAATTTGATCGTTACAACTTTATTAATGAGCGCTTTAAGTAACAAATTTAAAAATTACTATATAAGATTTAAACTCATTCATTCCTATCATAATTAAATTTAAAAAAAAGTTTTCTTAAAAAAATAAAATGTTTTTTTAAAAGATTTTAAAAAATGTAAATTTAATTATAAAAATTAATTGTATGAAAATTACAAAATGCTTCAAAACTTTTCCATTAATCAACAAGATATAAGTAAACAAAGTTATTTTATATTCTTGTATAATTTACATAAAATGTGTAAAAGCTATTAGTCACAAAAGGTCTTGAACTTATTTAAAAAATTCTTTCTAAAAATAATGGTTTAAAAGATTTTTAGGAAGACATTGAAAAATAGTTTCAAACATTTAAATTTATCATAAAAAATACATGCCTACATAAAAAAACTTTATATATAACATTTTTTTTTTTTAATTTACACATTATTACATTAATTTTTGCGTTTGTGTAAACAATCATTATAGTTATTTTTTATGGTTTTATTTAAAGCCTTTGCAAAAAATAAAAGATCAACGATTAAATGTTATTCATAACGTAACACTTTTTTAAATTGCATTTAAATTGATAAAACATCAAAATAGCCGTGGTCAAGTTGTAAAAAAAAAAAATTGGCGTGGTCAGTTATAGAGTACGATCACACTCCATTTCTGTCCAAGCCTGGCCAAACCAATCTATAATTAAAAAAATTTAGTTTTTAAACTTTTTCTGGTCTGGTTTATTAGCGTTTCCTTTAAAACTACAGTTTATGTAAGAAACTTTTTGACTTCCATGCAAGACTAAAAGACAGATCGATACTGGTAAACAAATGCTTGGACCCAAATCAAAGCCAAACAATTATTTTAATCTTTGTTAATCAAGGCATGTGTTTTTAAGTTATAAAATTAAAAGTGGGTTGTAGCCATGACTAAAGAAGTCTCCTTAGTAAAAGTGGCCTTTGTAGCCTCAGGAAGGTGAATTAAAAAAAAAAAAAAAATAGAAATATACTTGATACTTGGCTATGCTTAAATACATGAAATTAGGCTGAACTATTTGCAAAGAAATTCTCTTCCAATCTGACTCTCAAATCTTATGGCCTTTCTCTTCCTTCCATTCTAATTAAACAGGTTAACCTATTGTTAGACATTCAAACTACTTCAGCTTCCATTGCTCATAGTCATATCTCGATTAAACTCTTCTGCGGCTTGTGGTCCAGACAAAATTCCTGTCACAGTCGTACAAAATTGTTCATCAGGACT